TTCTGGTTTTTAAGCTACTGATGCATTCTTTTGATTTTGATAGTTCAGAAAATGTGAGAATACATATAAGAAATGGCCTGCATCAATGACTGTGTTACAAAGTTGTTGGTTTTCTTACATGTTGTCCATGTTATTTTTAATATAATAAATTTGGCTTTTTTGGGTTGAGTATATTTAAGCATATAAACAAACTGGTGTTGGTGAGAAACCAAGAGACCATGAGTTCTAATCCTGCCTTAAATACCTAAAGCCAGCTGGGTGACCTTGAACCATTCTCTCCCTCTCAGCTCTTGGAAGGCAAACTACTTCTGAAATGTTACCAAGAAAACTGCACAAACTTATCTAGGCAGTTGCCAGGAATCAACAATGACATCAAGACACCAAACAAACAAACGTCCCTGAAACAATATTGTTCACTAATTTGCAAGTGTAACTGCATTAGGAAAACAAGATAGTATCCGAATTGCCTGATAGTCTTGCAAAAGTGAACAGTTCTAGCCATCATTCTAAGTAATAAAATATTTCAATATACTTAGCAATAGTTCAAATACATTATTAAAATTTTGCAAATTAAATCCACTGATAGGTCAGTAGGACAAAAGAGTGGCACAGAGTGATTTTCAGGATCATATTCCAGTGGGTTAAAATGGATAACCAGCACAACTCTTTATCAATTTCACCCCAATATCTCAATTCAATTAAATATGGAAAGGAAGACTGGCAGGAAGTAGACATAATATCAATCGTAACACTAAACCACAAAATACTCAAAATGGCATTTGATTAGAAAAAAAGTCACTGCCTTTATGTAGGAATTCCTCCACAAAAGGAAAACCAACCACTCAAGACAAAATTACTGTGAAGTGCAGTCATAAGTGACCTGAAGAATGGAGAATGCTCACAATAGCCTACAGCAGGGATGTCAAACTGCTGGCCTATGGGCCGGATGTGTCACACAGAAGCCGCACCCACCCCATTGCCAGTAATGGCAAAACTGTCCCGATACGTTGAGCGACATCACGTGACATCATGAGTTTGATATATCTGGCCTATAATTACTAATAGTAGATGGACTGCTTATAATTAAATGAAGCACTGCTTATAGATAGCATTACAAATATCTTGTGCTTCCAGAACTCAGAAAATTCCATTACTGAACTGGAACAAGAAAGGATATTGTCAATTTATGTCTTCAATAAAAGGTTATTGGGGGATCTTTGCTCTGGGAAAAACAGGAAATGAGGCTGAGCCCTTAGTTACAATTAACAATTAGAAAATTTGTTTCCTAAGATGTTCTTGCCAGAAACTCAATGATCACATTGGCTACAAGTGATTTGTTATGTAGCCAAAGCCCTTAAAGTCTTTAAATGCTCCCATAAAATATTTGGCAGAATAACTAGTATTGTGGCAGACACAGCGCTGATGACAACACATGATTCACTTATTTTTATTTTTAGTATGCAAGACACCCAAAATATTGTAATCAGATGTTTTAAAATAAAACCAAGAACAGGAGATTTCAAATATTTATTCATTGGAAATACAGGTTCAGCAGTAAATAAGATGCTACTACAATCTTAAAAGCCAATTATGTGTTCAAATATTCTGAGATGTCATTCTTACATCTGGTGGCTTATACAGAGGAATGCAGTAATATGAGTTGTAAAAAAGCAAAGAAATGTAGGATTGTAATACGAACAATGAGAATTTTTTTTATAATTGATTGAATCTGCACTTAATAAGAGCAAGGTCCAATAGAATAAATGAATATTCTCTTCCTTTTTGTGTGTGTGTGGGGGAAATGCAGGGAGAGTTACACCAAATTGCTAGCTGCCTATTCGTTTGTTCAGGGAGGAAATTTTGCTAGTTACCTGAGCTGTGCTGATGAAGCTGTCAATGTATTGATGCAGTATTGATGCATGACTCTGAATGGAGAAGAATAGATTTTGGCTCAATCATCACAAGACTTTATGGAAATGGCTGTTTGGGTTATGACTGTTTTCATCATTGATCTTGGATGGCCTCCCTTATTCCTTAATGAAGAGTGGTACATAACTTGGGTCTCCTTCTGGACTTGCAGCTCCAACTCAAAAAAATAGATGGATAGGCCTCTGTGCCAGTTGCACCCTTTTGTGACACATTCACACTCCAGTTATCTCACAACTAAACTATTATAATGTAATCTACATGGCTCTGCCTCTCCAATATATTTGCACAGTAGGCTCACTCTATTAAAGACCATCATCTTGCAGGACCAAAGAAGTGTGTATTTCACCAGAAATATGAATGTCCTTAGTCTTTAAAATCTGGCTCTATTCCCAAGATTGGGGTAAATGTATTTATTGATGAGTTTGTGGGACTCCTATGTATTAAAATTATAGTATCTAGATCAAATATTAGTTTTAAATATGTAGTCTTTATCATTAAAACAATACAGGATTGTTTTGATGGGATATAACTAAATAAAATAAACATTATAAAAATAGCTTTCCCAAAAAAGGGATGGCAATAAGTAAATTTACAAGTCTCCATAACCATCAGTATTATGTGAGTGAGCCAGAGAAATAAAATTGCTTGGTCACAGTGGGCTAGCTCAGCATCATCCTGAATCAGAATTCCTGCTTATTTGTGTTTTGAAGCCTTGGCTTCAGTGGATAGATCCTTTATGGGATGCGCTTAGTGTTGCTGCCAGACACCAATCTCTTGTATTTTTTTTTCTTTAAACCTTTCCCTTCTCCTCATCCATGAATCCATCCATCTTGGTTCTAATGCTTTTGTTTATATGGTTAGTTTTCAAACACACAAAGTAAAACAAATTTTTCCTATACAGAACTACATTTAGACTTCTGGATTCAGTTGGTGATTCAAATAGAAAAGAATATATTTAGGTTAGGGGTTACACTGTGGAGTCCTTGGAGCTCTCTTGATTGCTTGTTTCATTACCCAGCTAGGTAACATCATCACAATAGTGGTTCATTTAATACATAGATGAAACAAAATGTAAATATATCTCTGACTAAAAAGTAAAACAATACTTTCTGTGAAATAGCACGCTATTGATCAAAATACATTCTAAAACTTTCAAAGTTATTTCCTGAACTCTATGCAGATAAAAATAAGTTTGGAATAGAGATATTTACAATCAATTATAAATGTTACTTCCCATGGAATATAACCAACAGTGTAGGTTCCAGGGTCGTAAGAAATCAGCTTAGTATGTAATAACCTAATAGTTAAGATGGGAGCTCTCATTAGATATTCTATGAAATGGTACATTCTTTGGTTGCATTTTCTCCATTCCCACCAATGTTTTAAGTATATTTAAAGAAAAGAATTTCAGAGATCTTGAGACAGAAACAGAAGAGGGAACTGAAAAGCAGAGCTACAATATAATGCTTCTATCACAAGTTTTCCAAATGATAAATTACAACAGTTAAATGATATTTTTTAAAAGATAGACATTTAAATTTAAACTGATTGAATTGAATGCGAACATATAAAGGCATTCTAAATGTCTTCTGAAAAGGTCAAGATTCTCAAAAGGGTCAAGATTCTCTTTTTCAAAAAAGTAGCGCAGTTCAATCTGAAAGCCCACTGTTGAAACTGCACCTATAATCTCTTAAACTCAGTTGGCAGTTCTCAGTCAAACATTCCGAGGCCTGCCCTGGGAAGTTTGCTGCCCAAACCATGCTCTTCTGTGCCTTACTGAAAGAGCACAAAGCCCCTTGAATATGATTTCTTGAGAATCAGGGAACCTCCTGAGCAGATTAGATTACACTATGGCATGTAATGCTATGCTCCTCTATCACAGATACCTCCACCAAATTTTCTATTTTGCCCTTCCTATCTCAATTCCTGGGACCAAAGTCCATTTCAGTGTCGTTCAAGTGTCCTGATGCAATAAATACAGATAGTCCTTAACTTACAACCACAACTGAGTCCAAAATTTCTGTGGCTAAGCGAGATAGTTAATAAATCAATTTTGCCCCATTTTATGACCTTTCTTGTGCACAGTTATCAAGCGAATCACTGCAGTTGCTAAGTTTATAACACAGTTGTTAAGTGAATCTGGCTTCCACATTGACTTTGTTTGTCAGAAGGCGATGCAGCAAACATCATAAATATGAATCAGTTGCCGAACATCTGAATATTGATCATATCACCATGGGGATGCTGCAATGGTCATAAGTGTGAAAAACAGTCGTAAGTCACTTTTTCAGTGACATTATAACTTCGAACGGTCACTAAATGAACTGTTATAAATCAAGGACTATCTGTACTTGTAATGGATTTTTTTGTTTTTGTTCAATTTAGCTGAAATCATGAATTCAGCCACAAGATTGCAAAATGTATTTAGAACTTAAATGTATATAACAATATAGGTTGGAGGTACAGTAAGTGGGGGAAAGTGGGAAGATGGCAGACTGCTTTTATACAGTACCTTTACTAATTTACTAATAATAATTTTCTAATATAAGATGCATTAGACTTCCACTGAAGGTGATAAACTATTGAACACTGTCAATATAAGAAATTAGAAAGCTCTATCGTTTTGTTCACTAAACATAATTATTAAGAAATTATACTAAAATCATTAATCAAACAGTTCTAAATAAATATATGGTTAAATACAAATATTTTGCACAAAGAAAATACATTAACAACAGAACACATATCCTCTTAAGAGATAATGTTAATTTAAAATTAAGTAGGTTTGCTTCTAACACAAATTTAATATGATAATCCTCAAGGAAGCAATTACTTAGGAAAGCAGTTAAAACACCCACCCACATTCATAAATGTCATTAGAGAAAATGCTGTTGAAGCATTCACAGCTATGTTAATTGCAGACAACCAAACTGGACTTTTTACTTATCAAAACTAAAATGTGCAAAGAAATGTCCTTCTCTCTTTAGCATTTTGATCATTTAAGGCTTCTAGCCCTGTGAGAGCCTAGTTATACTGTGATTTTCTGGCTATAACAAAGAAGTATACTGTACCTCGGGTGTTGATAGCTGTTGACGATGTGACTGTGCCTATGCTTGTTAAGGCTACAGTGGCTGTGACTGTTGCAGTGGTAAGGGAGGGGATGACAGTGGTGGGAAGCAAAATGTTGGAAACATCTGGTGAGTGGAAAAAAATATAACATAAAATCATATCATGCAAACAGAGAGAAGCAGCATAACAATGATTCAGCTTGTCAATACACATATGTAGAAAATGTACCAATTAAAACATGCTTAGCACAGATCAACAAAGGTAAGATAACATACTTTGAAATTCTTGACATCAGATCTCTCTCTTTCTCTTTCTCTTTTTCTTTTTTGAATGCTCAAATAGTAACAGATTAAATTTTGGACCAACCAACGAAGAGAATTGTTCAAAAGAAAAGTTTTAAAGTCAGAGAGTAAATCTTTATGACAAGAATTCATTTCTTTGCTAAGCCATTTTAAATGCCTTGTACGGTAAGAAAGCAAATATGGATGAAATAACATGCTTGTCAGCGTGGGAGATGATAACACAACATCATCATGCTAAAATAAATACACATGTTAAGTGATGATTGTATGTTAAAGAAACCTACTTTTCAGACAGACTCAATGAAAAAAAAATGTGAGCAAACGACTACTAACTCTAAAAGCTGCTGGTTTTGGTTTGCTTGTCTTCTTCCACATTTTGTTAGAGACACAGTCATCTGCTAAGACCCAAGCAGAAAACACATAAAACACCCTTAACTTTTACAGGGTTCACTATCATTCAACAGCATTGGTGAATATTATTTGTATAATATAAAGAAATAGTTTAGTAACCTTAATATTTAGTGTGGGGGGGGAGGTTTGGGGAGCTATTTATATCAATCTGCTAATTAAATAGTGATCCGTAGAGGACACTTATCAAAAGAGAAAGAAACAAGCATTATCATCATTCAGATCATATTCTAAACTAAGTGCTTCTGCATGTCAGTCTAAATGTATTACTGATAATCACATCATAAATTTCCTATTCCAATTCTACATGTGCATATATATATATATATGTATGGAAAGTGTATATGAGATCGACATTTTAATACTGAAAGTGCAAAAAAACAGGATGGGGAAAAAAAACCCTCTCTAAACTCTTTGCTGCCTGAAGCAAAGTTCTTTTTTTTTGTTAAAAACACACAGAAGAAAAAGAAAACATGGAAGAAAACCATTGAAAATGTTCAGAAACTTGGCTTTAAGCATTGTGTATCTAGAAAACTGGCCACATAGACACAGTTAAAAACACCATTAGTTCAGGAATAGCTAATGATATCTGTGGAGGATAATACAAATCAGAAATACAGCTTTCATTTCCTTGAAAACCAATATCAGAGCATTACTTCTGTGGAAACATGGTAAATAAAATCAGGTAGCATCATATAGGAGGATTATTCAAAGCACAGAATCCTGAGATTTAGAATATTTTATGTGTACCAGCAGCCTCCATTTACGGCTAATTATTCCATTAGACTTTTTGATTTTAGACCTATTCCTAATTTTCATGCATTACAAATTATATTGCCATTTCAAAAGACTGCCTGTCTTTTTCCTAGTTAATACATTTGAGATTCCAAAATGCCACATTCCTATTCCCAGTTAACTAGAGCAAATATTATTATTCGTTCACATTTACTTTTGCAAAATTTTCACATAGGGATCTATATAACTCTATGCTTACATCCTTAACATATTAACATTTAAAGAAGTTCCTCAATAAGAGATAACTCTGGCTACCAAAACTAAGGCAGACTTTTCAAAATTTAATGTTGTCACATTAATCAGAAGGACAAACTACAACATTGCCTGGAGAGCAACTGCCATGATTATTAAACAGAACTGACGTTAGTCAACATTAATCATGAATGCTCTTTTTTTAAAAAAGAAACAAGTTGTGCCTTCCTTTGCATTATTATGCAAACAGCATAATTCATTTAAAAATGGATAGGTTAGCAATCATGTAAGAAGAAAGACTAGAATTTCAAAGTATTTTGCCATATAATAAATATTTTACAACTGCTCCAAAAACTGGCTGAGAAAGTGTTTACATAACTGAATAGGTGCTTCATAAGTGTATGTGAACTACAGCACAATGCTATGCCAAAATCCAGTTTTATGGTGATTTCAAAGTAATGTAGAGAAGAAGAGCAATCACTGAAGACCAAGTGAAGGTTCCCTGTCTTTTATAATATATGACAAGACTAACAAAAACAAACCTCATACCATGAGCTATTTCTCTGGCTTTGGGACCTGAACATGAACTAAAACTCGCAATGTTACACAACGTGTCGTGACTTTTTTGCCATTACCAGCAAAAAGGTGGTTTCGCTATGATGCATCCACCTGCAGGCTGGCAATTTGACACCCCTGCTATAGTGCCTACACCTGTAACTTAACCTTATGTCATAGAAAATTAAAACTTGGAAATGTTGTTCTTTCACATCTGAATGGGAAGACAATCTGCAGAAAATTACAATAACTTTTTTGGGGGGTGAGAATCAAGTCTAACACAAGATCTGACGTTGAAATTCACTTGGATGTCCTAATAAATGAATTCAAGAGAGATATATATAGGAAAGCTATAATATTATTAATTCTCTTTAAACTCTTGGCCCTGAAATCTATTCAAGCAAATTCCAATTCGTGGAGTAAAAGTGCTTTCACTCCACTGTAGTTTGTTTTTTTCCCCCCTTGATAAGTTTCTTTTTTTTACCCCTCCTTCATGCTCTTTAATATCTTCAACATCATGAACTGCAGTCTTCCTTGGAAAAGAATGGCCTTGCTAGGTTGGAGCTGCAAGTTAATTATAAATTGGATTAATGCATTACATTTAGGAATGCAATTGAAAAAGATGCTTGCAAGTTCCAATCTGGGAAAGGTTCAGCAGTTCAAAGCCAATTAATTTGTAAAAAATTCACACCAACTACTTATAAGATGTCATTCTCTCATACTCCTTTGCATTAATATCTTCAATAACCTAAGAAAAATTAGGAAGTATCTTGACCTATTGTGCCAATATTGTTTTCATTTCAGCACTAAATAAAAGAGTTCTCATTTGCCCACACATTCAAGATTTTATTCTATTTGTAACTGATTTATTTTTTTATTAGCTAGTTGAATATACTTATGTTTGTTATTTTGTAAATGATATAATAAACTACTGAATTATTATATAGCTCCAGCTAAGTTTAATGAAGAGAAGGACGAGGGGGGACATGATAGCAGTTTTCCAATATCTCTGGGGGTGCCACAGAGAACAGGGAGTCAAGCTATTCTCCAAAGCACACTGAAGGCAGGACAAGAAGCAATGGATGGAAACTAATCAAAGACACAACCTAGAACTAAGGAGAAATTTCCTGACAGTTAGATCAGTGGAACAACCTGCCACCAGAAGTTGTAAATGCTCCAACACTGGATGTTTTTAAGAAGAGATTAGACAACCATTTGTCTGAAATGTTATAGGGTTTCCTACCTGAGCAGGGGATTGGACTAGAAGACATCAAAGGTCCCTTCGAACTCTATTATTATTGTTATTGTTTTTAAGCCAGGATTATTTTAAAAATATTTTAAATATACATATTTTTTGATATGGTGTAATTTAAATTCAGCAAAATTGATTATAGCTTGAATACTTAAAACTGAAACTGAGTTTAGCTCATAGAATAATCCTAACTATTTCTACCTTCTCACTGGAATCAGATACATATTTAGGTATTCTTGAAGTTGCAGATTCTTTTCCAGAAGCTGGTGGTCCTGGAAACCTCATTTTGCCTCTCCCAGTTAGAGCAATTTAATTTCTGCATATGTTTTTCTAATGGTAGAATTTGTTTCTGGTTGTTTTTGGTTGCTTGATATTGCCTCTGGCACTCAATATGTTTCATTATAATTAATGTTGCTATTGCTATATTTTTTCTTTGATTGTCACCTTGAGTTGCACATTTATTTTTGTGGCTATATAAATTGATCAGAATAATAAAAACCAAAAACAAACAATTCAGAGTTATGTCTAGTTACTCATACACTATGCATTAATTTCTCATTACCACATTTAAACATGTTACCATGTTGGACACACCAAATAAAAATTCTGCACTTGTGTTCATAAAAAACAAAATAGGAAAGGAAATCCACAAAACTCTATAGAATAGGAACATAAGAATTAGAATTAGTATCTCTAAGCAATGAAAGCTTGATTTCACAATGAACTGAAATGGATCAATTTTCATGTGTTCTACCACGCATTTTCTATATTATATAAGTTATTGACCTATGCTTCTCAAATATCCTTTGATGAAATGAAGCAATACATTATCCAGTTATTTAGATGGTTGCACAGTAGTTCCATAGATAGTGGTATAAATAATTAAAATAAAATAGATTAAATGCTAGAGAAATAATGACTAATAAATTATATAGTTTAGCCTCAGGACATTATTTTTCCTCTTATTAAACAACTGACGACAGGAAAGGAAAATAAACATATGAATCCCAGAATCTGATGACAGTATACAAATAAATATAAGGAAGAATTTATAACTGATTTAAAAGGGCTTTTGTAATAAAAATGCTAACATGGCAAGGATTTGGTTTAAGCTTAAATACATTTCTATTGCACTTCCTGCATTAAAAACTGCAAAGCACATTGGGATGATGTTGTGAACTAAGTTTTGAAATTTATTCACATCATAAACTTACTCTCTGGGATAATCCCAATTGAACATTTCAGGTAAAACGTTTTTGGCTTTTTGAAAGTAACAAACAAGTTATTGTCAATTAAATTATTAAACATTTGACTAACTCCCAACTGATACTTAATAAATGGCAGCTTTTTAAATTAAACAGCTCAGCTCTGAATATCAGTCTCTTCCAGATGCCATATACATACATACATACATATTGTTGATAGATGACATGGCTCAGAATTCAGGAATACTTTTTTGTAAAAAAAAAAAAAAAGAGGTTAAACTCTTAATGGTAGCATTTGAAAATAATGTGGTACATTATGCAACAATAATGTGCTTGTTGGAAAAGACTTTTCACATATTGGATGATGTTAAGCATGGCAGAAATTTTAGCTGAGGGCACTATCAAATCATGGCCCT